TATATATATATATATATATTGATTTTATTATGATTTTGTGTGTGTGTGTGTGTGTGTGTGTGTGTGTATATTTCTAGGAATAATATATATGTATATCCCACCCAAGAATCGTTTTATATATATATAAAATTCTTGGGTGTTATATATATTTGTCATATATATATATATATACATATTCACACAAAGTATGAATGCAACTTGCAAAAGTTAAATTAAAAGAATTTTGCGAGAGCTTGCTAGTTCATCACATTATTGATTTATTATTGCCATATACAATTATAATCATATTATAATTATTCACATGAAATGCGTAATATATAATATATATCTAAAATGTCAAAGGACAACATCAATAACATTGTAACAATTTTGTGCAATTTCTATTTCTTTAAATTTGCTCCTTCTTTGCATATCCTATTTTTTTTATATGAAGTGCAATATTTTCCCTTTATACTTTAATCATGAGATATATTATGTTCATGTGCTAATATTTTTAAACTAATATTTAAAAACGTAATCAATTGCGAACACAAGATGTTCAAAATATCTGAAAAGTTCGCGCAATGTCATTTATATTTATCATTAAAACATGTAAGAAGTGACTCATATTGGAAGAATGCATGCGATTATTCAATCATTTTATTTGTTTATTATATTAATGCTATTTTTTTTATTATATTATTGCATGTTTAATGCGTTTAATATGCCTTATTATAATTAAACATATTGCATTTTCTCTTTATACTATTGGATTTTTCCAATTAATTACTTTAATGTGTGCTCATCAGCTTCTATTTACACATTTGAAAGATTCATTTTCACAAAATATGAAAATTATATTAATTATTAATGAAAATTATATGACGTATGTCCATAATATATACATCAATTATTGCATGTATTATAATATGATAATGATGATATTGTACATTACAATGAATTGACGCCTAAATTAAATTTTATAATTAGAAAGACATAATAATCTTCGTTTTAATAAAAAAAAAACATGAAAATTAAATTGATCGCGTGTCTCTGTATATAAAAAATGTAAAGATATGCTCGCCCACTGTATCCATTCTGCTAATGAAACACTAGTTAATTGTATCGCTGCATTACGATCGACGTGTTTTCGGCAAAGTTGTCCCGTTCGCACAATTCGCGAATTGTGCTCGTATACTAGTGTCAGCATAGCCGCGGTTGTCGCAATTAGCATCGACCCCTCGCGAAAGTACCGAACTTTCGCGCGTTATTAATAACTACTGCGCAATCTGTAGTTCAATACACGTCCCGAGCGCGATCCCGAGCTTTAATCGGAAACTTCTTGTCGTTTTTCTCGGCTCGCCGTCCCCTTCCTCAGGACAATTTATATTCTTTTATCCTTTAATGCGACTTCTCCCCCAGGGGCTCCCTCTTTCCCACCGTGTTGTCACCGGGCGCTCGGCCCAACTTTTTCCATATTCCAATTAGGAATATTTCCCATTGATTTAAGGCCCGGTTGCCGAAGAGGCGGGCAAATATTAACGGCTTAACGCCGCGATAAATTTACAGTGCCGATACGCCGCGGGGGTTGCAGTCTCCGGCGTGGCACCCCGTCCTGCAGGAAGAGAACCTTCCTCCATTAGGGGGAGGGAATGACGTAAGGATCGCCTTTACGTGTGCCGACACACTTTACGAGTTGCAAAAACTCTCGTTAACATTAATCACTGTGCTTATCCGAAATCGATGCGTCGAGGCGAGAGTGAACAGACTGTGTGCGTGTCACCCAGCCTGTTTACGAATGTTTCTTTCGGTTCCCCGATTCTCGTTAAGAAAAAAGAAAATCACCTTCTTAGAAGATGGTTCAGTGATTGTACATAAGATCTCCGATGAGAGGTTGAGAAGGCGAAAGACTTGCAAATAATATAATAAGCATGCTGAGCCTTCGATGTTCTCCTCTTGAAGACTTAATTTATTATTGCACCATGTATTCTTAAACATTATATTATTAAACATTATATTATTTATTATATTATTTATTTATATTATTTATGTTAATCTGGATGTTATGTAATTTGAAATTAACTATATTAGAAATGAATTAATTTACATTTTGACACATATGGAAATTAAAAATAATAAAATGTTATTTAATTCAAGAGTTTTACTCCTTTAATATTTAACAGAAATTGTCTAACAATAATAATTTAATCGATCATTTGTTATCGTA